TCCCATGTAGTCGACTGCGGTTCGAGTCCTGGACCCAGTGGCTTAAACTCACGCCGGGTATGTGTGTGTGCGTGCCCAGGATCCCGAGAGGAGAATGGAGGAGAAGGGATTGCAGCGTGGCCATCCCCCATGGGGGGTGATTTCTAGCTTTCTGTCTTTCTGTCTCTATCTGTCTCTCTGGCAAGCACAAGCACCCTGTAGCCAAAACCTCTCAAAAAAAAAAAAAATCTATACACACAAAACACCCGCCGCCCTCCCTCCCCAAGGCCACAGAGCAAACACACTGGAACTGCTGCAGGGGAAGGGGGTTAAAAGGCAAAGAGGTTTTCATAACTGAGGACAGCGACCGTGGTGTGACTAAGGGAAGGGTCAGCCCCACTCTCTGCCACCTTTAAGAGAAAAAAGTCTTTAATTAATTAGGGGGAGGGACTTCAATGGCACAGAAAAAAATCACGGTAAAATCTCAGAGCCACTCGGAATTCCCATTAGGCACTTAGGTAGCCAGGACAGGTGTGGCAGCCCACACAACAGGCCGAGGCCAGGCCCAGGGCCTCCCTTCACAGCTGGGAAGACAAGGGCTCCCCACTCGGCCCAGAGAGCACGCGAGCAAGAAAGGCGGAAGAGCACGCCGAGGATGGCTCGGAGGGGTGGGGCGGCCGGGCAAGTGCGGGATGGCGGCGGGGGCTGCGGAGACCCCAGAGGGCGGCCGGGCAAGTGTGGGACACGGGGGTGGATCCTGGGCACGCACGCACATGTGCCCAGTTTGAGTTTAAGCCACTGGGTCCAAGACTCGAACCACAGTCAACTACATGGGAGTCCAGTGACGTAGCCATTATGCCATCTGCTGGTCCCTTCAAAATTTATTTACTTATTTTAATTTGACCAGAGAGGGACAGAGTGAAAGCGAGAGCGAGAGCGAGACAGAGAAAGGGAGAAAGCAAGCTACTAGGTCCAGGACACGAACCGCGACTGCCCATGTGGGAGTCCACCGCCCCTAACCACCACGCCCACCTGCTGTCCCCAGTCTTCTTTCTAACTCATGTAGCTAGATACTGACTGAATGAAGGCCAAGTACAGAAGACAGCGCCTTCCTCACAGACAGCGACAGAGCTGGAGGCCTGCACTCCCCACAGCCCCTGTGCTCTGTACCGCCCGCTCATTCTCTGTGCGCCCACGAGACCATGCACAAGCGGTCCTGTGACACGGCACAGGGAGGCCACGCCTGAGTCCGCACTGTCCCCCCTGCCGCCCCACTCAGGGCTGCTCAGAACCGGGACCTCCTCCATCAGACCTTCAGGAGACGGTCACGACCAGGACAACGTGCTGGTCGGGGTTCCAGACTCTCCACCTGGCTGGGACTAGGGCCCAGACCACCCTCTCCTGTTCCCCAGCAGTCGGCCTTACCCTGGAGTCACCATCCAGCAGACACCGTGAGATGACGGTGTCCAGGAACTCCTCGTGTGCTGCGATGATGTGGTCCAGGTCCTGGGCCTGCTGGACTCTGTTCCAGAGTTCATCCCAAGAACATTCGAGCACCTAGGAAACAAGGGCCCGCATGAGCTCGCCTTCCTCCCAGCGCAGCGCCCCCCTGCCAGCACAACCGCAGCGTACCTCGAACGTGATGTAGTACTGCATCTGGTGGATGAAGTGGACCATCTCAGAGGCCAGGACGTGGCCCTGGTGCAGCACCCCCGCGAGTTCTGCAAGAGAAGCAGAGCCAGCGTCAGCCGTGCGCCAGACACGCCCGGGACCACAGCGCCCTGCCTGCCCTCCTGCCGTCACACGGCAGAGATGGCCTCGGGGCTCGAATGCTCGGCCCCTCCACGGTCGACTCCCGTGCCGTCACGTAAGCAGGACCGAGCTACAGGACCTTCTGGAGGTAAGTCTACGGGGCACGGCGGAAGCCACGTTCAGCTGTATTTGGTTTAATACAGAAGCCTTCCTCGGTAACAGGCGCTGTCCCGAGTAAGGGGGTGCCCTTCCACATGGCTCCCTGCAAGCAGCCGGCCTGGCGCAGGAACCACTTCCCAACCCTGGCTTTCCGGAAACAAGGACGCTTTTTCTAAGGACACGAAGGCACCTTGTCACCCATGGAAAACACAAGCCGCAGAGGGAGCTAGAGACAAGTCCCTCTGCTCTCGTTCTGCAGGAGGTGCCATGGCCACTGAAACACTGGCAGGCCACCACAAGGCACCAAGCTCTGCTCACACTCCCAGCTTCCCTCAAAGCCAAGGACAGGACACTGCTGCAGCGACACACAGTTCGTGTTGGAGCTGAGCCGCAGCAGGGCGGCTGCGGGAGGCTACACCCTGGAAGGGACGCCAGCACATGGATGCTCCATGCACACGGCTGTGCCAGAGACCAGCTGGACCCCTCCCGGGAGGACGCCCAGGAAGTGGAGCACACACTCAGGGTGTGGGCCGGCCCGTAGCCTACTGGTTAAGGGAGCCAGATCCCGCATGGTTTGTATCCCAGCCCTGCAGCTTGAAAAACACAACAGAAGCACATGTGTGCACGCCCCAGGTCCTCCGAGAATGGGTGATGAAAGGACCGCAGCGTGCCACACTCCACTGGGGCGCGTCGCCTCTCCTTCTGTCTCTGTCTCTGAGGCCAGTGCATGCGCCCTCTGGGAAAAACCCACCACAGGGAGGGAAGCGAGACCTAACGTGACGGGCCCTGGAGGGGCTGCTTTGTGCGGGTCAGGGCCATGTGCCCAGGCCTCGCTGTCCTGGTCTAACACATGCTGTTTGCTGCACAGAGAATGGGCAGGGCAGATCTGGTCTACACCTGCAAAATTCACACCCCTGAGCTGACAGCAGATAGGCGATAGGAACCGTGCTCTGCAGCATGGACAAACCCTGTGATGTGCAGGGCAAGGCCTGGCGCTGAGGGGAGCGCTGGGCTGCCAGGAGCCCATGGGTGCAGCCAGGACTGAGGCCAGGGCCTGGGTCTCTGAGGAGCTCGAGCCGTGGCATGTGGAGAGGCAGAGGAAGGGAGGAGAGCTCAGTGGGCCTGAGGTCCGGGGAGACCACGGAGCATGTTTCGCACTCCCTCAGGAGAGACCTCAGGAGAGAAGGTACAGCCCTTGTGAAACGTGCGTCGAGCAACAGAAGATGTTTCAAAAATAAGCTTCAAAAAAAATGGGGGCAGGGAACCAGCAGTTAGCGTAATGGCTATGTCGCTGGACTCCCACATAGTCGACCGCGGTTCGTGTCCCAGACCCGGTGGCTTAAAACTCGCGCTGGGCGCGTGTGCGTGCGTGCCCAAGCTCTCGAGAGGAGAATGGAGAAGGGATTGCGGCGTGACCATTCCCCCTGGGGGGGGAGATCTCGCTTTCTGTCTCTATGTCTCTCTCTGTCTGTCTGGAGAGCGCACGCGCCCTATAGCAAAAACCTTTCCAAAAAAAAAAAAAGAAAAAAAAAATGGGGGCAGACTTTACTGGGGGATGCGCGATGACAGAGCACACAGGTGAGTCGATGAAGCTCGCGTAGAGGGGGGTGGCGAACGGGGGGCAGTCCCACCTCAAATGCCTGCTGGGCTTCTGAGCTTCACCGATGCCAGCTCCCACCACGAGCAGCCCACGGAGCATGCAGCTGTGACAGCCAGAGGCCACGCATCCACATCCGGATGGAGAGCCCTGCCAGCACTGGCCTGCTATGAGGTTCCACCAGGCAGCGCCTCGAGGGAGTGCATCGGCTTGGCCCGAGGGCCCCGCAGACACAGCAGCCACCGCCCAAGGGCTGGGTATCACTTCAGCAGAAAGCGCAGAACAAAGGAAGGGGCTTGGGCCCCACGGGGTGCAGGTGGCAGGGCACTACTGCAGCACTGAGCCGGATGGGGAGGCCTGGGTTTCGAGTCCCGGCATAACCTGGACATAGAGGGTGTGCTAACAGCCATGGCTGGATGGAAGCTGGGAGAGGACGCAGCATAGCAAGACACTGTCAGGGTCCCTGTCTCTCTCATTCTCTGTCTCATGAAAGGAAAAGCAGCCTTAAGAACAGGAGGAGAGGCTAAGCTTTCCCACTAACACTCAGGGCCTGCTCAACAAAGCCACAGCGCCAGCCGTCTTCTGGCTCGGAGATCCCGAGGGAACGGCGCCCATCTGTCCCTGCGCCTGGGGTTGGAGCCCCAAGCTCGGATGAAGGACTGCAGCTCCCCCGGCCGACGCCGCCCATCCGCAACCACCGTTCTCAGGGCAGGCATAGCGTGCATCCTGGAGGCTGAGCCGAACACGCTGGGCCCTGCCTGTGAGCAGTCTGACACACATGCAGGAGTGTTGCTGACCTCCAGCTGCGCGAGGCCGGCGGCCAGGGCTCGGTGCTCTCTTCCAGAGCCTCGCCGCTGGGCGCCCGGAATGTGCCTGCACTCCGCAGTGGCATGGTTGCCGTGCCCACGCTCTTCTCTCTGTGGCTGACCCACAGGCGGCCACGTGATCACGGCGATCCCAAAGCAAAGCAGCCTAGGCCCAAGCCCAACAAGCACCCGGCTAGGGGGTCTGCCTGACAGAGGTGGCCCAGAGCTGCCTAGAGCACCGCAGAGACCTGGCTCATTTGCAACTCTTGCCTGCCCTCTACAGGTCGTGGGAAGAGCTTCACACTGACTTCCACACACAAGGGCCCAGGGGCTGGGTCCTGCTGTCCCTGCTGCGGGACTGGCAGTGCCCTGCCCTCCGGGTTCCCTTAGCCCAGCGCAGAGCTGGTAAAACCACAAAGGTCTACTCTAAGACAAATGCTCCGAAGCTGTCCAGAATGTGAGGTCAGCTCCCACGGCCTGTGCTACCCCAGCTCTGGGGTGGGCCGGCACCGTGGGGAGGGGAGGTGGCTGAGGCTGCCAGGAGCCCTGGGCTCAGCACCAGGCCCACTTGCAAGGGCCAGGCACAGCGGCGGGCTGGCAGGCGGGGAAAGGAGGGTCCCGGCATGGCAAGACTTTGTCAGAGAAGTAACTCTCTCCCTCTGCCCCACACTTCCCTTCTGCCTAAAAGGAAGGGCGTTGTCATCCAAGTCCCGCCTCGCTGGCTGCTCCAGGCTTATTCCGGAGACACCTGCGAGAACCAGGGTTCTCCCTGTGTCTGGCTGCGGAATCCCCAAGCACCTTGGGGGCTCTTCCCGACATTCACTGGCTGGGTGCGGGGCGGGGGACAAGCCATCATGAGGGACCCTGTACTCCACTTCGGGTCACTTACTGGAGCCCAGCAGCAGCCCGGCCCTGCCCCAGATGGGATACTGAGACACAAGTAAAGGAGTTGGCCACGGGGGACACAGGACGGCCCCGGCACCCGTGTGGGACACGGTTCGCTCAGCTGGAGAAGGGTCTCAGGCCGAGTTGGGCACAGAGGGTTTTACATCTGCAGACCACAAAAGCAAGTGTCTTTGGAGAACACCTAAAATCATTCTCCACACGGTCACTTCACGGAGTCCGAGCTCCGATGCGCACTACGGGCCCTGCCATTCCCGGGGACAGAAAGCTTGTGGGGCGCTGCGCGGAAGGAGCCTGGCGACCTAGCGGTGGTGGCCATCTCACCGCCCTTCCCACCCTTTTCTGCAACCCTGGAACCTGCGCCAGCTCTTGAGGTGACCGTGGGCTGCGATAAGGGCAGTCTGTGGTCCTGACAGCGTGCACAGAGCACCCACAGCAGCCAGGGCCAGGCCACACCCGTGCAGCCCACAGCAGCCGCCACGGCAGACAGCAGCCCAGTGGGTCTTACGATGCAAGGAGGTAAACGTGTCTCGGAAGTGACCAAGTGGTGAGAAGGAGGACAGCAGACAAAGCCACTCGGACAGCGAGCCCTCGGTTGTGTCTGAGGCCCTGGGCCAGGCCGACGCCGCTGCTTTCCCGGCTGCTCTCCTCCCTGTGCACTCTGCATGAGGACGGGCCAGGCGTGCAGGGGAAGTGTGGTGAGCGTGCGGCAGCAATGGGGGCCGCCTCAACTCCTGCTCATGTCCTCGTCCGGCGGGCCAGGGCACAGGCCTCATGTCCCAGGTCCCTGTGCCGCTCAGTGCCGGGTGAGGGACCTTGTGTGGCTGCAGGTGCGGCCTGAGCCGCCTCGTCGCCCTCGAGCCGCAGCCACAGCACCTCTGCACCCCCGGCTCGGGCAGGCTCCGGGCTCCCGACTGGGGCCTGGAAAGACTGTGGAGCAGGCCCGAGCGTGAAGGGCCAGCCATGCTCTGCGGCCCAGGAGCCCCTCCTGGGAGAGGGCCGGCTCCACCAGCACCCACCGCACTTGCCATTCGGAGTGAACACTGGCTGCCACTCCCCTCCTCGCTCCCTGCGAACCGCCCGGGCCTGTCCACGTGCCCGTTTCCAGTTCCTGACCAAGTCGAGAGAGAGGCAGAGAGGGAGTCTGCTCCAGCCAGGCCCGCATGCTGGGTCTGGGCTAGGGACCTGGAGACCCGAGGCGGGCCAGGGTCGGGGACAGAAAGGGTCCGTTCTCTCTCTCTCTCTCCATTCATCCGTCTGTCCTCCCTTCCTTAATCTTTGCGCTAGGACACATGTGCTTGTCATGGAGCGATCATGGAAGTAAAGGTGAGAACCCACCCCCAGGAAGGGTGGCTGCTCCACAATCCCTCCTCCCTTCTCCTCCTGGATTTTGGGCATGCATGCATAGGCGCATGCACGCAGTGTGATTTTCAAGCCTCTGGGCCTGGGATTCAAACCACAGTCAGCCAGGTGAGAGTCCAGCACCCTAACCCCCACACCACCTGCTGGCCCTGGGTGGGTACCTTTGTTTTTATCATTTTAGACAAGAAATAACGCAGGGCTCAGGTGCAGGCCCCGAATGTGCTACTCCTTACATCGTCCTTGCGGTGGAGACCACCCCACCCGCCATCTCGGAGCCCCGCGCCCGCGCTCCGCAGTGCCTAATCCTCTGTTCTGTGAGTGTCCTAAACTCAGAAGAGAATGAAAGAAAGAACACTATTTCTGGATTAGAATTATACTGAAATTTTTACTACTGAAGTCTTAGTTTTTCATGAAAAATGAACGTGTTATTTTTCCTCAAGAAACTGATAAGTCAACTTTATTTCTAATAAAGACTCAAAACACCATTGTGTCGAGGGGTGGGCCCCCTCTGTCCCCCAGCCCCTTGTCCTAACCACACACTGAGGCTGAGCGACACACGCGAAGCGGGCACACGAGGCGGGCACACGAGGCGCGCATCCAGGGCAGTTCCTAGGGAGCCTGCGTCTAACCAGAGTGCTCAGTCACCGCCGCCCTCGGGCCAGTGGGGCAGGTACATAGAACACCGCTCCCTCTGGGCTGGCAGAGGGGATCACAGCCTGACGTCGGACGTGGGCACGGTTCTCTCGGGAACCCAGTCGCAAGCTCGTGCACGTAGGGAGCCAGAGCCCACAGGCCAACCGAGTTCATGCCTCGGCACCAAAGGCCTGAACAGCACGCCAGGGGCACGTCTGCATGCACACATGTACACATGTGCCTGGGACCCTAACGGGGCGGACGGATGGGAGAAAGGACCGTGGCGTACCCAGGCCCCGTGGGGACGCGCTCTCTCGGGGTACAGGCGCTCTGGCAGCAGGAGCCCACTCCACGAGCACGGCGGCGGCCATCTGGGCCAGAGGATGCGTGCTCCGTGCCGTGTGTGCGAGCAGTGCCGAGCTGTGCAGAGGTCTGGGGGCAGCCCGAGGGATGCTGGGTAACCAGCCGGCTGACCTCTGCTCAGGATGCTGCGTGGCCATGACAACTTTAAAACACTTCTTGTAAACTCAAGGTAAGAAAGAAACTCTAACAAAAATATGGCAGCAAACAATTTTCTGAAAAAAGTAAAAAAAAAATCTGTACAGCACGAAAAAAAATTTTTACAAAGAAAAAGCGTTAATCCTCAGCAGTGATTTTTAAAGCATAAAATAGATCTAAAAGGACTTTCATGTTCACCTACCAGACCGACGCCCCCCAGCAGGCAGGGCAGCAGGTGCCCTCGCACCAAGACCCGGGCCACAGGTGCAGCCGACACGGGCACAGCACACCGGCAACGTGCCTGACGGGGCGGGGCAGAGCCCGGGCACGCACATGGCCCTGGTACCAGCATAGCCACGGACATGCCGAGAGCCCAGCCCTTCCTCTTCGAAGACACCCAAGAGCCGGGCTCACAGTGAGAGTGCCCACGCACACTGAGGAGCACTAGCAAGACACACATGCGGCGTGACGGGCTTCCTGGGGCGGCCCAGTGAAGAGAGCAGGCATCCACGTGGCTGGCCACAGTTCCAGCGTCCCAGCCCTTGTGGCTTGAAAAACGCGTATGTGCAAACCTGGGATCATGAGGGAGGAGAGGCGGAGGAGGGACTGCAGCGGGGCCCCTCCCCGCAGCTCTAGCTTCCTCTCACTCTGGCAAGCACCTGTGCCCTCTGGCAATTATAACTAATTCATTCATTCACAAAATAAATTCATTATCTGGAAAAAATCTAGCTTGACACAAAGTCTGTTTTCTGATCTGCCCTGAAATTAAGCATTATTGCAAGCGGGCCTTTTCACAAAAACCAAAGCCAGAGCACAGCAGTCGACCCCCGCAAGGAGCTCAAGGACACCGGTGTGTGGCGGTGCCCAGCTGCTGGCCCGCACAGGCTCCCGGGCGGGGCCAGCCCGTCGCACGCCCGGGGCTCGTACCTGGCATGGTCCGCAGCAGCTTGGCGTTGCACATGTGCCCCTTGCGGACATCGGTGAGGATGTACTCCATGCGCTTGGCCCTCCACAGGAAGTTGAACGCCCGCAGGTAGTGGCTCATGCACTCCCGTGTGAACACCTGGGGACGACAGGGCAGGCTGAGCATGCGCAGAGGCAGCCTCCAGGCAGACCTATCTAAGAGCCAGAACGGAGTGCACCTCCAGTCTAGTCAGGCCTCCGCAGCATCAGGAACTGACGTGGCACTGTTCAGGGCAGCCACAGTCTAACCATGCCTGAGTCACTGACGTGCCAAGGAGACCGTGATGACAGACGGGGCTTTTCTTTTAACTCCTTACAGTCTTCGGCTTGCCCGAGGGCAAGTGTGCTCATGGGGAGAGAAAGCGGGAAAGGGCAGAAGGTGGACAAAGGGGGTGGGTCCCCCACGGGACGTGGTCAAGCCACAGTCGATCCCTTCTTCTCTCCCCTTCTGGGATCACAGGCATGCATGCGTGCACGCCTGGCATGATTTTCAGGCTACCGGGTCCAGGACTTGAACCACAGGGTTGGTTGGCCACGTGGGATCCAGTCGCCTTCACCACCACACCAATGGCTGGCCTGTCAGTAGCTAACGGTCATGGGAAAAGTCGTGACATGCTTTTGTATAAAAACACGCTATGGCTTCCCCACAGCCCGACGTTGCTAGGTCAGTTTTACAGATGAAGACAGAACGCGTAGGGTGACACCGTGAGGACGCGCCTTCTCGGGTTGTTTCTGCGGAGACTCCTTCCTGCTTCCGCCCCCCAGCGGAGCCGCGGGTGAGGCCTTGCACTCAGCCCTAGGTGGACGGAGACACAACCCCAGGCTGACGGTGTGGCCTCAGCCTGCACCCCAGCACATCCTGGCAACGTGTGGCACTGCACTGGGCCGGGGTTTTTATTTCGAGAGAGACTGTTGCTATAGAGCGTGTGCACTCCAGAGAGGGAGGGACAAGCAGAGGGCAAGAACTCACCCAGGGCGGGTCGCCACGCCGCCATCCTTTTTCTTCCACTCTCCTCTCAGGGTTTTGGGCATGCATGCACATGTGCTTGGTATGTGTTTCAAGCTGGTCTGGGACTCGAACCACAGTCAGCTATGTGGGTCTAGTGACATAACCATTACACCATCTGCTGGTCCCACAACCAGAGCTTTTTTTTTTTTTAAGACAGATTTTTTTGGTATAGGGTGCATGCGCTCACCAGAGACAGAGACAAAAAGCGAGAAATCACTCCCTGGGCGGATGGCCACACTGCCATCCCTTCTCCATTCTCCTCTCGAGGTCTTGGGCACGTGCCCACACACATCTGGTGTGAGTTTTAAGCTGCTGGGTCCGGGACTCGAACCACAGTCGACAATGTTGGGACATAACCAGTAAGCCATCTGCTGGTCACACAAGTAGGGATCTAAAACGCAGCCTGGAGCTGCCTGAACACGGACTGGAGCTATGGCTCTGGCCCACCCGAGGTCTGGGCGGCAGGACTCACGGTCCCAGTGCCCGCGGCTGCTGAGGGAGTCCGGGGGGACCCCCCAGGCCATCTGTTCACACATGCTTTCGATTCGCAGCTTCGGTGCTCGCAGGTGGTTTCACGAGCAGGGCAGCAGAGCCACGGGGAGCCATGCTGCCCCTGGGACACCAGCTCCATCCGCACAGCAGACAAACGGCTCCAGCGTGACACGCTGCAAACCACAGCCAGACCCACTCCTCACACCACCACATGCTCGGCACCTACGTGGCGCCTTATCCTTCCCAGAGACCAGGGCTCCCGGCGGGCGCTCGCGGCAGCAGGACGAGGCCGGGCTGGGCTCTGAGCGGAGATCCTCCCGCCTAGCTGCTCCAAGCACAGGGCCTTCACTCTTGGCGCCCTCCTGCACCTTACTGTCTGCTCCCACCCGCAGCAGAGTCCTGGACCCAGTGGCTTAAAACTCACGCCGGCCCATGTGCCTGCGTGCCCAAGATCCCGAGAGGAGAACGGAAGAGAAGGGGTTGCAGTGTGGCCATCCCCCCGGGAGAATTTCTCACTTTCTGTCTCTGTCTCCTTGTGTCTCCAAAGAGCGCACGTGCCCTATCGCAAAAAATCTCTCTGTAGAGAACAACAAAATAGGACCTGCAGAAAACCCATCTCTCCCAAACGGTGACTCCAATACTCTGAGAAACGCTACTGCCCTCCCACCTTTCTAGCAACGCTCGTATCACATCACGTGCCATTCAACCTCCCCCAAGTGCCCTCAGGCCCTGGCCCTGGCCCCCAGATCTGTCGGCGTGTGCCATGGCTCCGGCTCCGGCTCCAGCAAGCACACCGACCACACGCGACCCCAGAACCTGTACAGTCACAACTGGCCGACGTCAGCACTGCCAGGGATCGCTCCCACACCATGCCAGTAGATGCGGCTGCTCTGTCCTCCACCCACCACCGACCCACAGGAGGCGGCATGCACATAGACGCTGATTTGTCACGTACAGGACAGATACGGCAGTGATGGAATGTCCTTCCTAGAGCGCTTACACCAAGTGGAGCCTCTAAACACCGAACACTCAGCAGAATGCTGCATGGCCAACTGTCTACCAACGCACATCCAGTGCACGGCTCGACAGTCAGCCACGCCACACCCTGACTGCCGTCCCGCTCTGCTACGAACACGTGTCGCAACGCACCCAGGTGGACAGGGCAGCGAGTCGACGGTGTCTACGCCAGGGACTGTTCGAGCTATCACATCTTTCTGTGCATTACAACTCTGAAAAGTTGTTCTGGACTTAACTGAGGCAAAAGGCTAATTAAATATGACAAAAATTAAATTTAAGAGCAGTTACAAATTTAGAATAAGGAGCTTCGACCTTACAAAGTTACACGTGGGAATTTGTGGTAGAAAACGTGCAAAGCCGTGGTCTCTAAGCAGGCACGGGGCATGTTCATTAGAGGCAATTCTGTTACCCACATGCCGGAGGGGTGAGCTCAACTCTGACCAAATTATTCCCTTGTGAGTGTTATCTGTGCCTGGAGGGGTGAGGCACAGCCAAGTCAGACACCACAAGAGCCCCCAGGAGGGAGCCCAGCTGCACACGCTCCTTCTGACGAGGCCTCCTCCAGGAAGGAGCCCGGCTGCACACACTCCTTCTGACGAGGCCTCCTCCTCCTCCAGGAGGTAGCCGGGCGAGCACACTCCTTCCAACAGGGCCTCCTCCTCCAGGAGGGAGTCCAGCCGTGCACACTCCCTCGGAGGGGGCCTCCTCCGGCAGCACGGGAAGGCAACAGCCCCTGCAGCTCCTCAGTGGGACATAACAGAGATAAGTCCCAGTGGTGTCCTGGCCACAGAGAATGTCCTCGAGTCAGAGCAAAAAAACAAACGAGCACTACGGAGAGCATTTTAAAGGCTGAAATGAAAAAGGACAACTGTCCTGGTCACTGTCATGATGCGCAGTGAAAAAAAAATGGCACCTTCTCTCCTGGGGGAAAGCCCTGTGAACAACAGCACAGCTGTTTGCTGAGCACCTGAAACGATGGTCAAGTACCGAGTGTTATCTAAGTAGTGAAATGTGATTCCCCTAGATATACCTTACACTTCCTTCTAAATGAGCTCTACAGTTAACGAATAATCGAAGGGAATGAACAATCCACTTGTTAAGTACCTGCTGAAACCTATGACAGAACAAATTTTTATTTTGGAGAGGTTTTTGCTATAGGGCACGTGCACTCGCCAAAAAGACAAAGACAGAAAGACAGAAAGCGAGAAATCACCTCCCAGGGGGATGGTCACGCCGCAATCCCTTCTCCTCCATTCTCCTCTCAGGATCTTGGGCACATACGCACATGCGTCTGGTGTTAAGTTTAAGCAACCGGGTCTGAGATTCGAACTGCTGTCGACTACATGGGAGTCCAGTGACATAGCCATTATGCTAACTGCTGGCCCCAGAACAAATATTTTTAAGAATTCTTAAAATAATGGTGCATTTGAGCCTCGTTAATGATTATTTAGAACACACACACACACACATAATTCTGGTTTCAGTATTCTCTCAATGAGTATACCCACGATGTCAAGTGATCATTTTCATTAGAAATTCCTTAAGAAGAACACCAACTTTAAACGACGAAACACCGAACAGAAATTGCTGATAGACTTACAAAGTCCATGGTCTTACCGTTGCAATCGGCCCATCGACGTGGTAGTCTAGGCTGAAGACATCCCACCCGGTGTCCCCTGGAGAAACCTAAGAGCAGATGCAAACGAACAATTGCAAAGCTGGAAACTTTCTGCTGAAGAACTCGTCAACTTAAAAGCACACAAACAAGGGGACCAGCAGTTAGCGTAATGGCTATGTCGCTGGACTCCCACGTAGTTGACTGCGGTTCGCGTCCCAGCCCGGTGGCTTAAAACTCACGCCGCGTGTGTGTGCGTGCGTGCCCAAGATCCCAAGAGGAGAATGGAGGAGAAGGGATTGCAGCGTGGCCATCCCCCCTGGGGGGTGATTTCTCACTTTCTGTCTCTCTGTCTCTGTCTGTCTGTCTGGCAAGCGCACGCGCCCTTCAGTCTGTCTGTATGGCAAGCGCACGCGCCCTATAGCGAAAACCTCTCAAAAAAATTAATTAATTAAAAATTAAAAATTAAAAAAAAAAAAAAAGCACACAAACAAACAGACAAAAGCGCAGTAAAGTTATGCCCGATGCCAAGGCGCTGCGCCCTGGGCGAGGGGACGGCACAGGCACACTCAGAGGCTGGGGGAGCAGGTGCTGGGATGGTGACCGACGAGGACTGACTGCATCAACATGCTCCAGACCCCTCGGATCTGCACTTCAGGAGAGCTGGCTGGGGACAGTCATGTCTGAGAGCCCCACCCACACCCCACACCAGGCACGCCGACGGGGGAGAGGCCTCGTCACCATGCACCATGTCTCATGCCTCCCGCCAATCGGCCACGAGGGCCAGCACGCCTCACTAGGCACCTGGAATTGCTCCTAAGCCTGGCGAGGCGTCTCAGACCCTGTCCAGGACAAGTCAGCAGCCGTCGGGCAGTCCCTTCATGAGGGGAGCACACTGAGACCCTGATTTAGGGAAGCGAGCTACCTCAACTTCCCACTGAGTGACAGTGACAGAGCGGCGTTCACACTGGGACTGCCCAGGTTTCAGGAAGGACCAGACCACTTGAGTCTCACTGCACCCGAGCGACCCTGGCTAGGACCCGGGAGAGCCTCTTGCTGTGCTAGGGGTGGCATTTGCAAGGCGGAGCACGGTACCTCCAGCAGCCTCACGTCCAGCCTCCGGAGGATCTCAGGACTGTCAAACTGCGCGTTGGTGGCCCTGACGGCGGTTTCGAGAATTCCGGTCAAGTTATGTTGGTACAAAGTCGTAGCTGGACGGGCGAGTTCTGGTCTTCACAAAGTTTTTCAAAATTAAATATTATTTGAATACTTAACAAACTTTAAAACACAGAAATTATACAATGCACAAGTTCAAACTGTAAAAACCAAAAGCACACATGGGACAGCGCGAGCACGTGGTGAGATGCGCGGTCCGGCTGAGCCCGGGCCACTGGGGGCGCCGAGCGCGTCAGCTCAGTTCCTGACCCGGAGACCAGCCTGCAAGCAGCACGGAACATCATGATCTCCCACACACCCAGGGAAACAGGGCTCTGGGAAACCACAGCCATCAGACGAGCGGGCGTCGTGGGCCAGAGGCCCCCGGCCCCCAAGGGCCCAGCCTGCACTGCCGAACACCAAGCTGCAAGGGCCTCTCACAACTGAACTCACGTGCATGTAGGGGCCAGCCACAAGGGGCTCCCTCACGGGCGAGTTCACACCCTCCCGAAGGCCCTGTACTGAGGGCCTCTCGTGAGCAAACACACCCACCCGGAGGGGCCAGCCACAAGGGGCTCCCTCACGAGTGAGCAACATGCCCATGGAAGGACAGCGTGCGGCGTGCTGCCAGGACCCCGCTCCTGTGTGGCAGACTGCGGGTGGCTGGAAGGCGGCCCATGGGGCCGAGTGTCCAACAAGGTGGGTCCTACACGCAGCACCACCTTGGCTCGGAACTGGCTCCAGACGCGCTTCCCGCCTGTGTGTAGCCTGTCCTGACGGGCCCCGAGAGGCGCCGCTCACGCTGCAGGGCTGTGCCCGAAGGCCCGGACGACTGCCGGTAGCACTTGGGTGTCCCAGCCTGGTAGAGGCACAGTTAGACGTCACAGCACAGCTGCACGACAGCCTGCAGAGCCCGCACGCACACACGGACGCAGACACCACTACCGCATCCCCACCCATGAGCTCTCGGCAGCCCCTGCAGCCTGGGACGCTGGCAGAGGGGACTCAGGAACAGACTGTTCTGTGCCCGGGTTCTAGTGTCCTAAGGGAACATCAAAACCAGGGAGCTTCCATCCCAGGGAGTGCCTGCGTGAGTGCCCCCGGGGCCGTGCCGTGCCACGCCGGGCGCACACTCATCGGCACGGCCGAGCCTAGGCACGCTCACGCCTGCACCGTCTCTAGAGCTCTGGGTGGGGACGAGGACACCCATCAGGAAAAGAAAGAATAGGCAGGGACTCTGTTGTTTTCACATGGGACATTAACTGAGAATACGGAGCCAAAAGTTCCATTTTTAAATATCCATTTCATTTTTTGGGTGAATCTCAAACTGAAGCTAAAGTGGACTGTGACTAATGGGCCCTCTCCCATGGCCCAGGGACACCAGCACCCGTCGTGACTGAAGCCCAGCCCGTGGCCACACGGCTGCGGGCACCAGAGCAGCAGGAGGCCTTCGGAAGGCCTCCGGGAAAAGTACAGTCCCAGCCTTTCAGCTTCTGCCTCTGAGATGTGCTCTGACAACTGACCCACCTCCTCTAACCCCATTTACTCTTTCCAACCAAGACGGTGAGACCCGCTGCGCGATGCGTGCCACACGCCCAGGAGCGCCCGCCCGCCGCCTTACTTGAGCAGGTCCATCAGGTGCCGTATGAAGTCGCCCTGGCCGAGGAGCAGGTAGCGCCGCATGGCCTGCATGTGCTCCAGTAGGCTGTACTTCTTGTTGAGGACATCCAACAGGTATTTGCTGGTCTCAAAATAAGCAGCGTCAATCCTCCCCTGGAAGGCGTTTTCTAGATCTGTGAGCAAGTCCGCAGCTACAAAGGCACGGGCAGGACGGGGCGGGCATCTGTTACCCGCAGGAGCCCACGGACACCGCACACTGCGCCTGGCTGCACGACGGCGCAGGACACACATCTGTTACCGGGACAGGGTGTGGGGCACGCACAGAGCCTGGGCCACACAACGGCGTGGGGCAGGGGTGTGGGGCACGCACAGAGCCTGGGGCTCAGGTGTTCCCGGGAACGCAGGCCTACGGGGCAGGGAGCGCTGCCTGGGGCGGTGACGCTGCAGAACCCGCAGGTGGCTCCATGGTCCGCAGGAGGCAGGGTCTCGGCACTGTCTGGCGACATGGTTCTCAAGGTGTAAATAATTTTCTCTAGAAATGTTTTCACTAGGCCGTTAAGTTGTTACAGATTTTCGCTCCAGAAAAAAGGTTTAAATAGATTCTAGCCCACAGTAGTCTATAGAAGACATAAAATCCAGAGCCTCCTCATCCATTCTCTGCTCAAGGGCCCAGGCATTTCCTATGTTGCCCTTGTTAAAATGCCACTTCACCCTCCATTCCGTTTCACAGCCTCCGACTGCCGCGGGCCAGCAGAGGGCTGGCAGCGCTCACCACCGCACGGCAGCACGGCAGGGCTCCTGTCTCTCTCCTCCTCAGCTCTGCCAGGAACTGGAGAGCAGAACCATGTCCCCCAGACACTGGCGACAGCAGGGGTTGGGGGGGGGGGGG